CCACACTGAACCAGTGGAACTCATGATGCCCATCTGCTCTACATCAATGCAGGCATCGTCAGGGCTGACTATCACAAACCCTAGGCTAGACATGAGGGAGTGGCATTTTGCCAAGAACCCCCCCAAAAAAAAGAGTTTATGCCATGACTCCTACTTGCTGAATGAGTCAGGCATCATTCGGATTCCTATAATACAGCTCCATCTGTCAATATCCCTTACCTTAGGTACACACATTTGCCTCGACTCTGGCTACCCTAGACCTGTCCGGCGACTTCTCTAATCGCCCCTCCCCCGCCCCCGCCATCGCACCTCAGCTACGAATTTTGACTGTCAAAGGCGTTATCGCAGCTCTGTGACTCACAAACCGACAAAGACAACCAACACCGGACGTCTCATAAATCATCGAGAGTATCCTTAGAGCAGTTGATATACCAGATCGCCGAAAATGGCTTCAAAATCACCCGTTCTGCCCGAGGAGGGTAAGCGCAACATCCTAATTACCAGTGCCCTTCCCTACGTCAACAACATTCCGCATCTGGGCAATATCATCGGCAGTGTTCTCTCCGCCGATGTCTTTTCTCGCTATTGCAGAGCGCGAGGCTGGAACACCATCTACGTTTGTGGTTCCGACGAGTACGGTACTGCTACTGAGACGAAGGCCCTCGAGGAAGGTCTTTCGCCCGCCGACCTTTGTGCCAAGTATCACGCCCTTCACAAGGGAGTCTACGATTGGTTCCGAATTGACTTCGACATCTTCGGCCGAACGCCCACCCAACAACAGACGCAGATTGTGCAGCAGATTTTCAAGGAGCTTTGGAAGAATGGTTATATTGAGGAGCGAGAGACTACTCAACCTTTTTGCTCGGATCCTGCACACGGCAAGTTCCTCGCAGATCGATTCGTCGAGGGAGAATGCAGCATTTGCCATGACCTCGGAGCCCGTGGAGATCAATGCGATGCATGCGGTAGTCTTCTCGACCCATTTGAGCCCGAGCGCGAGCCCAGCACCTCTGATGATGACCACGTCGAAGCTAAAGCGACTGGTTTCCTGATCAACCCCCGCTGCAAGGTCGATGGAACCACTCCCGAGAAGCGAAAGACGAAGCATCTTTTCCTTCGTCTAGATGCGGTTAAGGACTTACTCGTTCCCTGGTTCCACAAGAGCAGCAAGGAGGGAGATTGGAGCACAAATTGTATTTCCATCACCCAGTCATGGATCGACAAGGGACTCCTTCCCCGTGGTATCACTCGAGACCTCAAGTGGGGTGTTCCTATTCCCAAGGATCTCGAAGGCTTGAGTAACGAGGAGTATGCAGAGAAGGTCTTCTATGTTTGGTTCGATGCTTGTATTGGCTACGTCTCCATTACCAAGAACTTGGTCGATGGCGATAACTTGGATGGCACGAACTGGGAGAAGTGGTGGAAGAACCCTGAGAACGTCAAGCTTTATCAGTTCATGGGCAAGGACAATGTGCCGTATGTGACCTTTTTGAGAATCCACATGATATGTCGAGAAGGTGCTGACAATTCAATAGATTCCACACTATCATCTTCCCTGCCTCTCAACTTGGAACAGGAGAGAACTGGACCAAGGTACACAAGATGTCGACAACCGAATACCTCAACTATGAGGGCGGAAAGTTCAGCAAGTCCCGCGGCGTTGGAGTTTTTGGAAACACTGCTAAGGAGACTGGCGTTGATCCTGACGTTTGGCGATACTACCTGCTATCCAGACGGCCCGAGTCCGCTGACTCCGAGTTCAAATGGCAAGAGTTCATTGACTGCAACAACAACGATCTTCTCAAGAACCTTGGTAACTTGAACCAACGAATCCTTAAGTTCACTCAGGCCAAGTTGGATAGCGTCGTTCCCGACTACACAAAATACACCGACGAGCGGCTAGAGGAGCACAAGAAGGAAGTGAACGAGGCCCTCAAGACCTTTATCTCACAGTTCGACGCCATCAAGCTCCGTGCTGGTCTCGCCACTGTTATGCACATCTCCGCTCTTGGAAACAAGCTCCTTCAGGACAGCAAGCTGAACAACCAGCTTCTGGCCGATGAGCCAGACCGTTGCGCTGCTGTAATTGGTCTCGGTATCAACCACCTCCAGCTCCTTGCAAGCATCGTTCATCCTTATATGCCCTCTACTTCCGAGGCCATCCTGGAGCAGATCGGCAGCCCTGGCTTGATCTCCATTCCTGAAACATGGTCAGGAGACCTCGTCAAGCCCGGTCAAAAGATTGGCGAGCCCAAGCTTCTCTTCACACAGATCCCTGCGTCTAAGCTTGATGAGTGGCGTGAGGCCTTTGGTGGTGAGGAGATCCGAAAGCAAAAGGCCCTCGAGGCGGAGAAGGCGGCGGCGAAGAAGGCTGCTAAGGACAAGAAGAAGCAAAAGAAGCTCGCTCTTCGTCAAGTTGAGAAGGCAGGTGAAGCTTCTACCGAGGAGAAGCCTGTGGAGGAGAAGAAGCCTGTGGAGGAGAAGAAGCCTGTTGAGGCCTCTGCTGTTGACTTGCTCCCCGACAACAAACCCTCTGAGACATAGATGCATGTAAACCAGAGTGAATCGGAGTTGGCGTTAGCAAAAGAAATTGACTGGGTATGGACGGTGCATGAGGAGCAGCTAGAAACGAACATAGGTTGCCGAGCTTGTTTCGAAGGGTTGTCGAACTGTAAAGTAGATTCTCAAATCAACTTATGAGGAATGACTAGATTATGAGCTAAGTGTAAAATATGTTTGAAGTTTAGGTATGTCAAGTTTCTCTTCAGACTCTATCCTGCGCCTTCATGTGTTCAAGGTAGTATGTTGGCCAATCTTCTCAGACACACACGCGAGGGCAGCTTCCCTGCCATGCAATCTAGAGAAACTAGGCCATAACGCAGAAATGCTTCAAATCAAAGACTTCAGATGAGGGCCATGCGTAGGTCTACAGACGTGGTGTCTAGAAAGGAGGACGGTTGCTATCCGTTTTTGAGTAGTGGAGAAAAAGTCGTCCATGTATATGGCCTTGGTTGCGAATGCTCAGTTTGGTATTGTTATATAAATCAAGTGTAATCCCTTATGCCTTTCAACTATTTCATGTCGGCAAGGACGTGGTATCTGTATGTTTAATCCGAAAACTCCTTAAGCCTGTTGAGAGGCACCTGGCCTGTTGAAAGGCGTAGCTTTCTTTGTCGACTCGGTGTGTAGGTACACTATTCGACTAGATGGAGCTGTCTGGCAGTCTCCGTTCGTTTGCGCGGCCTTAATAACGTTTCATGAGGCGCTAATATGCTGTCCTGTGACTCTTATTGTCGTTTACTTGGGAGAGCTTAGACAGAATTCGGGAGCTTAGTTGGACTTCTTTCCAGCAGCACGCTCACGCTCACGCTTGGCGTAGATTTCAGAAGTGAACGGGTCCTCAAATTTCAGAGCGATCCTGTAGACAACATCAACCCACAATGTGAGCAGGACACCGGCAGGCTTGCCATACCACATGGCGGTAGCGAGGAAGCTGCAGGTAGAGCCAGTGTACATAGGAGAGCCGGTCACGTTGAAGGGAAAGCCAGTCACCATCTCGTCCATGAGAATGCCAAAGTAGTCACCGAGGAAAGTGCCAGTAATGCCTAGTCGCCAGGTTGAAGAGACGACCAGGACGTTACCGACGATAAAAAGAGCAACAGCGGCGGCCTGGATGAAGTCGGTGACAAGAGCGGGATGCGTGGGTTGCTCGGCAATGGCAGTCTTGAAGATAAAGTCGCGAATCATACCGAGAGAGAAGATAGTGGCAGCAAGAGCATAGCAAGCAACTTGGGAGTTACCGCCGAAAATCTTGGTCAGAAGCTTGTTGTGGTATTCTTTCAGCGATCAAGTTAGTCGAAGATGAACCGTATAGCTGCAAGCTGCATACCTTGGCGGGCGACGATGCTAGAAAAGAAGAAGAGTTAGTGATTGGTGGTACAACGTCACATGAACGCTTGGAACTCACTTCCAGAAGAGAGGGTTGAAGGCGATGGAGGCAGCAGAGACTGGAAGAAGCAAAGAGCTTGAGTCAGATTCAAGTAATCGTTGGTATTGATCAAGTCAAGTTGGTAGATACTCACTGTACAAGCTCTGCTTGTCATAGTCGACATAGTTGACAAAGTCTTGCAAACCAAGAGCCATGATGACAGCTGGGTAACCAAGAAAGCAAGCAGGCACGAAGAGGGAGAGTGAGGTAATGGCAAAAGTCGTGATCACTGACGTAACAAGTTCACGGTAGAGTCACAGAAGGGAGAGGGTTCAAAGATGACTGCAGATAATTTGTAATTCTGCCGTTGAGAGAATAAACTGTTGAGATATTAGAAGAAAGAAGAAACAGAATTAAAGAGAGAGCTTGGAGAAAGACAGCTTGGAGCTAGGGTACCCTCCCTCAGGTACCTACCTACCTACCTTCCTGTAGCTGTCGTGTCCCGTCTGGGCTGTCACATGGAAGAGAGTGGAAAGCGGAAGAGGAGAGAGCCCGGCCCCGTCATAATGAGAGGAGCCCGGAATTAGTGGAGAGCCACGGTTCCGTTCAGAAGAGGGTCAACTGGGGGAGCCCTGGAGGATTATGTAGGACTGCGTCTTTTGATCCACCATCCACAAACCAAGCCAAATCATCCAATCCATGGAACCTGACCATACGGAAGATCCCTGCACTGTAGCCGGGAAATCGAGGCAAGTAACCCAATCTGCCGAATTCAACCTATACCGAGAGAAAGCCTCATTAGCTCACCCAGGACCAGGCCCAGGCCCAGGACCACAGCAGGCAGATGTCGAATCGAATCTTATGGGTATGACCACTAACTACCTAACTGACTAGACCATATGCTTCAATATTCATATCTATCAATGCTTTGTAACAATACGCTTACTGCGGTTGGCATCAAGGCCCATCTCGCGGTTTATTCCAAACGCCAGCCTTAAAACGCCCAAAGCAAAAACCCCAACAAGTCAACTCAGTCATCATCATCCATCAAAAAGAACACAGAAACCAACAGCTATTGACGTCGGTTTCTCGTCTTTTTACCAGTTGTCTGCACATCTTCTTCCTCTTCATCCTGCCCCTTTTTGAGGTCTTCTGTGAGACCCCATTCCTCCTTGTCGTACCAATCTTCCCCGTCCGACATGTCTCGGTTAAGCCCTGAATGAGCTTCTGCCTTGGACCAGTGGAGTACATTCTTCCGCATCTGCTCGGCTTTGAGGAGTCCTAGAAACAGCCTCTTTGCCCCTCTACACACCTCTTCCTGCTTCTGCACGTAGAGAGCTAGTAATCGTCGAATATCTTCCGCTTCTTGGTCCGGCAAACCGATGTCTCGATCTGGTCTTGCTCCTGAAGGTGCAAGAAACATGGGATGTATGAAGTCATCGTCCCCGTCGGATATCATGGACACATCTGCACGTATTGTCTCAGCCGATTCCGTTTGTTGATGTGCATCGCTGCCTGAAGGTTTCGCAGTGGCCTCAGCTCTGGTCACCTCGATCTCATTCGTCCCTTGTTCGTTTGTATGGTCATTGACCCCGTTTGTCGCTTCACCCATGGAATCTCTTTTATCGGTCTGTGCAGCTGGTAACTGCTCGCCATTGTGCATATTCGAAGCCGTTCCGGCACCGTCCTTCTCGGCCTCAACCTTTGCGTTATCGTCGGCATCCTCTACGAGAGAATCATCTGGGTCGGCAGTTCCAGCGTCCGTCATGGTTATATCGGCATCCTCTGCTGGGTCCTTATCCGTGGGCTCGCCATCGAATGTTGTGTCTGGTACAGCATTTGCTTGTTCGACACCGCTGGCCTGTTGTGCGGCGCCGTTGGTGATTCTGGGAAGCGCCGATATCGCCTGGGATAGCGCCAACAAATGTTGCGCTGTGTGGTTGTCTGTATAGAGCTCAACATCTGCCGGACGAACCATCATTTCGCATGGGACCCATGTGTAGTCGCCGCAGAGCGATGTCAGGAGATGTCTGACTCTCCACAGAGACCGGTTTTCCTTGCGCATTATGTCGCAACTTTGGTCAACAAGTCGAGTCAGGGTTTTGGACGTGAAGGGCTTCGATAGGGTCGGGTGTGTCGGTAACGCGGTTGATGCAGTAAGTGGAGCAAGGATATCTACTCCTGTTAGCCCTGCTACTCAAATGCGTGATTGTTGACTTACTCTCTATTTGTATGTTGGCGTAAGGGTTCATCTCTGCCGCTGAGGCCTCTGCTTCTTGAACGCGCTCCTCATCTTCATCGTCGCTATCTATTTCGTATCCTTCCTCGTCGACTAATGGGGGATTGCGATATAGGATCGGGCGTCGGACACCACCGTATTCGACATACTAGCAGAAGTCAGAGGCTGGCCTGGGAGGATCTGTCAAGAAAAAAAAAAAAAAAAACGAACCTCTTTATACGAACTTGGGCCATTATTTGGGACCAATTGCCCCTGACGGGCAAACCGTGCCTGCTTTTTGAGCTTGTTCCCGCGATTGCTATAGCTTTCGATCTCGGAGTCTGAGTCGGATTCTGTTGGGTAGATGGTCAGCTGTCAATCCCTTCATCGCGAAAGGCGCAATGAGATTTTCGTACCATATGATTTCCTTTTGAATGCTTTCTTCATACCCGCTATGGTTTCGGCAAAGAGAATCTGTTGCGACGCCATGGCGGACACAGGGTGGAATGAAGTGTCGAATCGATGGGAGTTGTGGGCGAAGCGGCGAGGGAGCGCAGGCCTTTCAGGCGCGTCCAGGGAGAAAAAAAGACGCTCAAATATTGTTGGTAGCGCCCCAGTACAAGGCTGAGTCTCAGTCCGTGAAAAAAAGTCGTGTTGACGCAGGAAAGCTAACCATAAGCAAATTTGGATTGACTGTGCTGGGACGACGAGGAGAAGCTGGAACGAGAAGCGAGGCTGCCCGCCTTCCCGTAGCCCATGACCACATTTCCGGGCGCAGACCATTCTGATTGGTCATTGCGCGGATGATAAAAAAGCCGGTGCCGGATAAAGCAATCCCTGACCGTCTACGATAAGAGATAAGCCAATGTATGGCTCTGATTCATGTTTCATTGCTGTATTGGGTGATATTCTTTGAAGATTCGCAGCTTGACTCGGCCTATTCTACCCAACTATCTGAATCGCATGAACTCATGCTAACAATCGCCCGGAAGGATCAAAGTACTATTTTATAAGTCAATTGACTGCACCAGAGTGAGCTACAACAACAAAAATGTCACCAATCTGCAATACGTCAACATGTCATGCAAGCAATTATGACTCGGTGTCAGGCACATCAACGCCACAATATACTGTGCAACGTTGTATGACTGCATGGATGTGATGAACTCAATTGGGGAAAATAAATAAATTGACAAGCCTTGTTACGTGATTGGGTGTCTAATCTAAACGGATCTACGAAACTGTGACGGTCACATTGCCTTTGAAGTTCTCGCTCGAGTTTCCTACAAAGACAGTGAAATCACCAGGCTCCACGACATACTTCATCTTTCGGTTCCATAGACCCCAGTCCTCAACCTTGAGATCAATCTTGACGGTCTGGGTCTTGCCAGCCTTGACGGCAACCTTCTTGAAACCCTTGAGCTGGTATCGCGCAACATCGACAGAGGCAAGCATGTCCTTGACATACAACTGCACAACCTCAGAGCCGTCGCGCTTGGACTTGTTGCTCACGTCAACGGAAACGGTGACAAAGTCGGTCGCAGTGACGTTCTTCTTGGACACGGAGATCTTGGAGAAATCAAACTTGCTGTATGACAAACCATAGCCGAATGTGTAGAGGGCCTCAGGGTTCTCAAGCACGTAGTTGCTACCAAACTTAAGGGTGCCGTTCTCATAAATCTTACCAGGGTTTGGCCAGGCGCGCGCAGAGTTGAGATGGTCGTAGTAGATAGGTGTGGTGCCGACATCGTAGGGGAAGCTGACGGAGAGCTTGCCCGAGGGGTTGACGTTTCCATACAGGACATCAGCCAGAGCATGACCACCTTCCTGTGACTGGTAGAACTGCTGAATAAGAGCAGAAGCCTCCTCTGAAATCCATGGCTCTGTGATAGGCTTTCCGGAACTGTACACCACAACGGTGGGCTTCCCAGTCTCGATGATGGCCTTGACGAGCTTGGGCATGGCACCGATGAGATTCAAGTTGCTCACATCTATATGTTCTCCAGTTGTAGCATTGAGTCCTTGCCATAGTTCGTTCTGATCTCGAGACCATGTTCCGACGACTACAACGGCGACATCAGCGGCCTCGGCGGCGGCGACAGCCTCTTTGAAGCCAGACTCGTCTGTGGACCAGCGCTCGCAACCTTGAGTGAATGTCACTCTGCCTTTGCTAGCAGCCTTGATTCCATCGTAGGGCGTAACACCTCGGGTCATGGCTGTGTGAATGACATAGTCACCGTACTGGTTGTTGAGTTAGTTAGTGATGGTTCACCAGAAAGTCAGAAAATACCCACATTCACATAGCCGTGGGCCATGGGACCGATGACAGCAACGTTGGCATCTTTCTTCAGGGGAAGAATATCCTCATGGTTCTCCAGAAGAACGATACTCTCAGCATCAAGTTGGCGTGCGACCTTCTTGTGGGCCTTGGTGTTGACATAGTCCCAGATCTTATCATCCGCGACGCCAGTGAAGGGCTTCTCAAAAAGACCCATCTCAAACTTGGAGCGAAGAACACGAGATACAGCCGTGTCTACGACCTTTTCGTCGAGTTTACCAGCTTTGACGAGCTCAGGGATGATCTCGAAACTCCAGTAGCCACCACCCATCTCAGCATCGTTACCAGCGGGAAGAGTCTACACAAGTCAATAATCATCCGATATGAGCTCGTGGTGGCTTACCTCAAGAGTGATGCACTCATCATCCTCGAGGGGGCATACGTAGAAAGCCTGAGCAAGACGAGCAGTACCACCAGCATCGGAGATAACGTAGTACTTGTAACCCCACTCTTCTCGAAGGATATCAGTGAGGAGGTAAGAGTCCGAGACGACTGGAACACCATCGTAAGAGTTGTAGGAGGACATTATTGAAGTTGCACCTCCATCGATGATGGCTCGCTTGAAGGGAGGGAGGTAGAGAGACCGCAGCTCTCGCTCACCACCGTGGACTGGGCCCGTGTTGATACCTTGCTCTGGAGTTGCAAAAGCAGCCTTTGAATGTCAGTACGCGAACTGATGGTGACGGCGCAGACCTACATAGTGCTTAACCATGGCCGAGACGCCACCTGCTTGAAGACCCTTGACGTATCGATATCCCATTTCTCCAGCTCTAATCGGAAATTAGTAACTACTAGGTGGCCAGAAGCATGATGTGGTAAGAGCATACAAATAAGGATCCTCGCTGAAGCATTCCTCAACTCGACCGAATCTCAACTCTCGAGCGAGATCGACTTGAGGAGAAAACAACTGGTTGATACCAAGGGCTCGAGACTCTGTTGCAATGACATCGGCCATCTTCTCGATGAGCTCTGGGTTGAACGAGCAACCCATGCCAATTGGACTGTTAAAAATTGTCCCATTCAAAATCAAGACTCCGTGGAGACCTTCACTCTGAACAAAGGCGGGAATACCTGCTCAGCATTAGACTATGAACCCAATATTGAAGCATAACACTTGCCAAGCTCTGTCTCCTTGGCCAAATAATCTTGTCCTAGCTTAGCAGCCTTCTTGATAGTAGTCATATTCGCGTACAAGCCAGTCCAGATGGAATTGGCTCGATACTTGAAGTTCCATGCCAAACCAGTCTTGTTGACAGTCTCATCAGTGAGATTGAGATAGTTTGTCATGTCACCCTGGATCAATTGCGCTGCCTTTTCCTGAATAGTCATCCGCTGGAGAAGGTCCTCAACTCTGTCATCGATAGAAGCTTTGGGGTCCTTGTAAACAGGTTTGCCCTTGGCAGCCTGACCGGCCAAAGCCAGAACTGCCGCGCAGAGGTAGCCAGAGAGCTTCATTGCGAAAGTCGAAGGTGAAGAAGCTGTCTCGGACCATACACTGAACGAGATGGGATCGTCATGTTTTATATCTAACCTGGAACCTTGTCTTTACAATTAACCGTGTAGCCTACGGGGGAACTGCGTCACTTCGTGATGCTCGAAATTGCACCTTACTGTTCAGTAACATTGCATGAGCTTTAATTGCGGGCTCTTGACCCATGGATCGTCCCTTGAGGATATCCTCAGGGAGAAAGAAAACGTCAGACCTATACCTAAGGTGTCAATATTAACCAATCTCACGGTCTACCAAGTTCATGCTAAGTTTGTCCAAGTTTACCTAAATATTTTTGTCACTTAGGATAGAGGTTCTTAACTTTCTTGCTCTTCTAGGATCTCATGGCCGAAGAACAGGACGATCATGACCAGACCCCGGGAAATGCGGGGGCGCCACAAAGAAGGAGACGGGCAAAAGATTGGGATTCGTGGATTTGTTTTTAAGTTGATATGGGATGAGAGTGAGCAAGGGGCGCGGGGGCCGGTATATGGAACGACGAGCCGAATATCCTAGCTTCGATGCAGATGAACTGACTAAAGAGGATGGATGAAGCTAGCTACGAAATTGTGATAGGGAGATCATCTTGGAATAGGTAGGTGTTGGCTGCTCGTGGGACAAGTTGTCTTCGTTAGTAGGTACAAGGCAAGTTGAGAAACCTCGCACAGAAACGAACGATGCATCCTTGAAGATCCAGTGCCACTACAGAAGACCCCGTTCGTTACAGTGGCCCTGAACCCCGCGATGGGCTGCAGCTAGAGGGGCCCCGTCTGTGTTTAACCGGGTGTGCCTCTAGCGTTGGCTGATTTATCCACCACTTGATCATCGAGCAGGGGGACCCTTGAGGGGACGGGATGCAACTCTCCAAGAACATCATGTGTGTAACTCGTTGTCAGACTTGAACGAATGACGCTTAGGGGACAATGTCATGATAAGTTGGTGGGGTCAAGAGGGGCTGCTCCGGGTGAATTGTCACCGTGAGAGGAGTGGGATGCTGATACATTTGAGGTTCCATGATATGGAGGATTGTCGAAGTGGAGAGTAACACCATATCATTCTCTCACTCTCTCACTCTCACACTCTCTCTTATACCAGAACTTGACTATTTCTTGGAGAAACAATCCACCCTTTCACCCATCAAGAGGCCAATCGAGCCAGGATACCTCCTATACCCTCTTCAATCAAGAAAACACCAAAATGCATCTCCGCGATGGCATGTGGCTGCCTGCCCAAGACTTTCGCACCGAGTATGCCGAAGATGTCTATGAGATCACTCCCAGCAAGGACCAACAGGCCCTGAATCTGCTATGTCCCGTAAAGCACATCCGCTCCCGAGGCGATACCCTCAATCAGCCCACGCTTGATATCGATATCAAAGCAGAGATGGATGGAGTTATATCCATCGAGACCACACATTGGGCCGGTGCTCAACGAAAAGGCCCCGACTTTGATCTCTTCCCAGCTGGCCAGCCCAAAGTTGAGGGGAAGATCGTCAAGAGTGACAAGGGCACTACTATCCAATCTGGAGTTCTCTCTGCCACTATTCATCCTGACCAACATAACTTCGACATCAAGTTCCACAGCTCAGATGGCAAAAAGCACCTCACAAACCTGGGCAATCGTAGCACAGGATTTGCCTACTCGCCAGCTCCTAGTACACCA